TTGTTAACGAGAAAGTAGATGCTTCTTTCTGGCCATCTGGCTTAACACTGCCAAACAACGTTGCATCCTTCTTCTCTTCAGGTTTAGAAACACCGGACGAGAAACCTGCTGCTGCCTCACTTTTCTTCTCAGTACTTGTCGTTCCAGATGGAACAGCAGAGGAAGCCAGGGTTTTAGCTCCAAAGTTGAATGACGGGGTCTCTGCTGATTTTGAGCCACCAAAGTTGAAAGATGGAACGCTGGATTCCTTCTCCTTACTAAACAACGATGGCTGTTCAGGCTTAGAAGTTGAATCTTTAGAAACACCAAAATTGAAAGAAGGCTTTGATGTTTCATTAATGGAGACTGGTTTCGAAGACGATGCGGTCTCCGTCTTATTGTCCAAAGCCTTGAAAGACAACGTAGGCTCTTTAACTGCTTCTTCCTTTCCAAATAGCGACGGCTTCTTTGCTTCACTCCCAAAGTTAATGGACTTCACTACCTGAGCAGATCCTCCGTCCTCATGTTGTCTGACTTCCTCAATCTTCTGATCAACTTTATCCAAAAAGTTGAACCCAGCACTCGGCCCTGACGCTATCTTATCAACTTGGAGAACCTTATCAGCCTGTAGCAGTATAGGGGCGGTCTTCTTGTCTTCTATGAACTTCACCTTCGGCTCATGGATCTCTTGTGGCTCGTACGTAAGCAGACCAGAGTACACACCAGCAAGCTTTCTCTCAGCGTCTTTCACAGCAACAGACTTATCAATCGTCAGGGTATGCGATTTCAGCTCAGGAACGAAGTCAGTCTGCACACAGACATCCTTCATATCGGAGGAGCTGGCAGTAGAGCCCTGCTTCCTCTTAACCATCGTGCTGGATCTTCTAGCAGAGTACAACTGGGACCGTCTCCATCTCTGCCTCTTCTTGAACAGATCGAGCCTCTGCAATGGGTTGATCGGTAGTACAGGCGGCCTGAGCTCACACGATTCCTTCAGCCTCTTACTATGGAGCTCCTCAACGTCCAACGGTCTCTTTAGCGACATGTAGTGGTCTATGAGACGGGTCTGGGCTGTGTTGTTTTTTGTTTGGTTGTTTGTTTTGAAGCCATTTTTGTTGATTTTTTCGTTTGTTTTGATTTCGTTGATGCAGACAGGTCACGTGATACAGCACGTGATCGCGATTCAACTGTGCCGGACTACCGAGGGCAGCTAACCATGGAAGCATTCTATTCTCTCTGGTTTAGCTGGTTTATACATAGGATATACAGGGCTTATTTGATAAGTAAGGACTCTAGGAACTCGTGGTCGAGCAGCGTGGCAGCACCGGGTCTCTCCTTGTAATCAATGGTGAAAGTGCGCTCGAGGAAGTCCCGTGCTTGGTCAGAACACCACTTTGGAATCTCTGGCACGGTATGGGTTCCGATCTTGAATATTGCTTGCATCTGGGAGAAGTTTGGGAATGGGTGCTTTCCCGTGAACATCTCGATGAGAAGGCATCCCATGGACCAGATGTCACACTTCGGTGTGGTGGCGATCTGTTTCACCACTTCCGGAGCCATCCAGTACACGGAGCCTTGCAGAGATGCCCTCTTCTCTTGATTTGACGGCGATAGCTTCTTGGATATGCCGAAATCAGAGATCTTGACCTCACCCTTGATGTCGATGAGGATGTTGGCGCCTTTGATGTCTCTGTGGATGATGCTCTTGGAGTGTAAGTAGTTCAGTCCGATGAGGATCTGTCTAGTGAAATTTCTCACCAACGGCTCTTCAAAGGGCCCGTAGTTCGTGAGCATGGAGTTGATGGAGCCTCCTGGAACATATTCCAGGAAGATGTTCAGGTTGTTGTTATCGGTGCTCGATCCTAGATACGTCACAATGTTATCGTGGTGTAATTCTGACAACAGCTTCATCTCCATTTGGAAAGACTCAACTATTTTGCCATGTATCTGTGGATCCTTATCTTTCCCAACCAATGGGTTGAGCTCAACCTGCTTAACAGCCATCAACTCACCCGTTAAAGAGTTCATACCGAGATAAACCGTTCCAAATGAGCCTGAACCAATACGCGATCCCTTGAGCCATTTGAAAGGAGAGCCATTCTGAGCCGGGGCCATGGATGCACTGATTTCCCCTTCAGTTTCATCTTCCTCATCGTCTTCCGAATCGGTATCCAGAAGCTGGATAGTTGATGTTCGATCAGACTCCAGCGTACTTATAGAGAACCTCTGCTTTTGCTGCTCCATGCTTGAGGCCAAGTTAAGAGAGTCCGCAACGGAGAACCTGGCCATTTCTTTCTTCGTCGTGTTATCGATGATAAAGTCGCCAATTGTCGAAGAACGGTTATTTGGCACACGCATCGAATACCTCACAGAGTTTCGGATGGTCTTCTCCAACTGCTTGGACTCCGGGAAGTACTGCGATATATTCGTAGAGATGAGTTGGGATGACGGCCTCTGTCCAAAGATGGATCTGAACTTGTCATGTTGTACTGTTCTCTGCTTCGGTTCTTGCGCAATGAACTGCTGAGCCACCGCTATGGCCTCTGGGCTCGGAGCTTCAGTCTTAGCGCAGAACAGGATCCTCTGCTTCTCTATGCGATCAACAGAATGGCAGATTGTGACGAGCTCAACGTCGAACAGCGAGCGAACGTCACCTTTGGCATCGGACAGATACGTTTCGTAGGACTCCGGCTGTGCCTGGATTCCCAAATGCTTGATCAACCTTCTCTTTATCGACGCGGCGTTGAAGCAACCGCTCACGTTCATCCTCACGGTACTCCCGTTCTGGAGGATGAAGCACACCAGAGACTTGCCTTTCAGAGGAGGCTCGGCCAGTTTGAACTTGTTCTGCACCTTCAGTTCGAACTTCAGCGTGTTCAGTTTGGCAATGGCGGTTTGAATCCTGATGCGATCACCGATCTTGGATATGCCGATATCTCTCAGCACATCGCCATCGCAGTACTTCAACCGCTCATAGTCGATGCCGTGTTCTATGGGCCTGTGTTAGCAGCTGGAGATCGAAGAAAGACTCCCTCACTCATACAACAAAGGGGGAGGACGGAGTGTACTCACGGTTAAACTGCGCGGCGTACTCTTCAAGGTGAAGGTCCTTTAGCCAGGTGCTGAGTCTGTTTAGCACGTTAGTAACCTGGCGAATACAACGGGATCTGAGGCATGGACAAGGACGTACTGTTCGGACACTTCCATACGGTGAGACTGGGCTGTGTTGTTTGGCAGGTGTTTGGCGGTGTTTGGCGATGTTTGGCGGTGTTTGGCGATGTTTGGCGATGTTTGGCAGTGTTTGGCAGTGTTTGGCGGTGTTGCCTTTTCAACGCCAGGCAGAGGGTATAAAATCTAGCGGCCTCCAATTTTGACGGCTCCTGCTTAGCCCCCACTGCAAAGCAAACAACACACACAACACACACAAGATGAGCTCAAACCAAGCAGAAGAAGCCAGCCAGCAGCCCAGCCAGGCAGCACAGGCTCCCCTCGAGCAGGCTCACCACGAAGGCGGGCTGAAGTTCCCACTGCTGGGGAACACGCCCAAGCTGCCCCACGCAAGGGACCCGTCTAAACACATCAACCCACAAGACTTCATCAAGCAGAGCACTGGCGGGCTCCAGCACACTGGAGGCCACAGACCAGGGAGATGAGTCCTCTGGACGGGGAGATGAGTCCGGTGGCCGAGGAGGCCCTGTGTGTGAGTGTGATGTGGCCGTGTCGGCCTACGCTCCACGCGCTGTGCTCCATACGCTGTGCTCCATAAGGGAGACGTATCAATGCCATGGCGTTAGCTGCCTGTTCCCTGTGTATGTTTTTCTGTAGACGGGCCCGCGGGCCCAGCGTAGTTTCTCGCCCCCCTTCAGCAGACAGCAGACAGCAGACAGCAGACAGCAGACAGCAGACAGCAGACAGCAGACAGCAGACGGGCGACAGTAGACAGACAATGCTGGTGACAAGGGCGCTCAGGAGGGCTCTGCTGTACCTGGTGGCTGCTCTGGCGCTCCTATGGTGTCTCTCCAGGGCCAGGCAGACGGCCAGCCACGACGCAGTTAGAAGGTGCTCTGTGCTATGTGATGGGACACGGTTGGACTACACCGGCAATAGGCCTTCTTCGTGGGTCAGAGGAGACTACCTGACGCTCAAGACAGTGGGGCAGGTTAAGATCGTGGACGGCGAGATCGTGTACACCCCTGGAGCGGTGCCGGTGGATGTGGTGTTCAACAGCGCTGTTGATCCTCGTGATGAGTGGACTGTACTGCCTACACCGCTGCGCACGTCAGGGACGGTTCCGGTGTTTCTGACGGTCAAGTCAGGTGAGCGTGTCCACAGGGACACGAGGCCTGACATCAGGATGGAGGACGGTAAGCTGAAGATCTTGCAGCTGGCAGATTTGCACCTGAGCTCGTTTGATGGCGTTTGCCGTGATCAGTACCCTCAGATCTCTGATGAGTGTAAAGCCGATGAGAGAACGATGGTGTTTGTCAATAAGCTATTGGACATCGAGAAGCCTGACCTGGTGATCTTCACGGGCGACCAGGTGTTTGGAGAGGACTCGTTCCATGTGCAGAGCACGGTTTTGAAGCTGGTTGCGCCTTTAATTGATAGGAACATCCCTTACGCTGCGATGTTTGGGAACCATGACGATGAAGGCTCAATGACAAGAGAGGAGCTCTGTGCTTTCTTTGAGACTCTTCCGATGTCGCTGGTGGAGAGAGGTCCCTCAGATATCGACGGCGTGGGCAACTACGTCTTGTCAATTCCAAGAGATGACCCTAAACTCACGATATACATCATGGATTCTCACAAGTACTCACCGAAACCAAGACAGCTACCAGGGTACGACTGGATCAAGGAGAATCAACTTGAGTGGATCAAGCAGAGACACCAAGAACTCGGCAACACCGACCTTTCAATGGCATTCTTCCACATCCCATTGCCTGAATATACAAACCTGGCTCAAGGTTACGTTGGAAACTTCAAAGAGGGCATCACAGCACCAAAGTACAACTCTGGTGCAAGAGATGTATTACAATCCCTGGGAGTATCGGTTGTAAGTGTCGGACATGACCATTGTAATGATTATTGTTTGAAGGATGTTAAGGAAGACGAGGGCATTTGGCTATGCTATGGAGGTGGAGGTGGTGAAGGTGGCTATGGTGGATACGGTGGTACGACGAGACGTGCGAGGGTCTATGAGATCGATGGCAAGACGATAACCACCTGGAAAAGACTGGAGACTACACTGGAACTGTTTGACAGGCAAGTTCTAGTACGAGAGGGCACCCCGGTATGAAACACCACCAGGATTAATTAATACTGTAAATAATTCTCCTCCATGATATCCTTCATATTTGCCACAAGTAGTAATACACCATATTGGAACTGTGGGTAATGCTGTGTAAAGAACAATGGGAATACCCTTCTTTGTCGTATCTGTGAAACGTCATCGGTAATGATGGAGTAACTTCCAAAGAACTGTATCTTGTACCGTAGTGGCACGGCAAGGTAATGGGAAAGTAACAACGTCATGTGCGCCAAATAGCCTAATGATGCATTGATCTCATTATGGATTGGAGATTCAATATGGTTAAGGGAAACTGAACGTGGCAAAAGGTCAAATTCTGGTATCTCTAACCAATGTGCAATATCCTCCAGTGGGAAAATGGATTTCACCTCCTTGATGACCTTAGTCCTCTCCACAGTAAACTCGTTCAGTGTAGTTTCATGTTGAATCAGTAGATTTGAAAAGTCACCACGCTCTTGGTCCAGTTGTTCGAGTTGTAATTGGCGTGATGTTCTCAATCCTTGTATCTTCTTCAGCTTTATTTCTCTAAGGGACCTCAAATTTTGTAGTCTCTCTCGTTTGCTCTCTAGTTCTTGTTTTGCAGAGCTTATCATATCTCTGAGTTTGAGCTCCCTATAGCTTGCGACTCCCTTCTCAACGCCATCCTCTGAGATCCTTTTGGCAAGCTTCGCCTTTGAGACCTTCAGATCTTCCAGGCTCAACTGTATGCTATTTAGCTTCATAAGCATATCGTAGTTAAGACTTGCGACCTTTCTCACTGGAGTTGAGCGTTTCAGCACATGAGAATACCACAGAAGGTCTATGTCATTTGTAGGCACAATGTACTTCCCGTCAACGAGGTTCATCATGACACAGTTATCACCGATAGGCTCGTCACAGAACAGCAGCGCTCTCAGACTGAAATCCAACTGCATCAGTAGAGTCCAGCTATCGTCATCTTCATCAGCTTCATTGGTTACCCAGATCTTAACAATGATATTGTGCTCATCAGAGCCTGCTATTCCGTAGAGATCAAACTCCTGGAACTCAACATCGATACAACCGTGGTGTACTTCACTCACATGGAATGGTACGCCCGATGAATAGTGCAACGAGCAGAAAGCGCTAAAGAAGCTGCGATGGTTTAGTGCCTGGAGTTGCTTCTCGTCGAGGTCACCACTAAGCGGCCTCTGCGAGCCACCAACCGCCGATGTGATGTTGTATACCGAGAGTCCTCTAATGTGCCTTATTTTACGCTAGATAAGATCAAAAGAGACTCTTTGTTAGTAGCCGAGATTACACACAGGCAGAGCTTCAGAACACAGCCACACATTCATAGCACTCACTCTCTTCGGATGAAGAACACATCCATCTGTATTAATCTGGATCGTCATGTACCAAAATGTGTACTGGCTTGGTTGTATATATATGGGCTCAGCCATTGGAGTGCTGAATAGGCCGGTTAACACAGTGTGCAACAGAGGTGTCTGGGTGTTTTACACCCCTTCTCCCTACGAAATTTTTTTCGCACTTTTGCGCAACGCCAGTGAAGGCACTTCCCCAAAGCGGAAATCGATATTTACGGCGAAAAATACAGGCAGCCGGGCAGACAGGCGAACTGACTCAGCTGGGGGGGGGTTAGAAGGGTGCTCAGTGGGTCTTAGTGGAGTGGCTCAATTGATGGTAAAAGATACACGTTTGTATAGTGTGCTTCTAGACGTCCGATTGTTCATTTACTTAGAACGGTGACCCAATCTAGTGTTATATACCCAATGGGTTGGACTGAACTGGGTTGAACATAAGCCGGCCTTCTCAATCACCCTAGTTACCGTAACTAAAACCACAATCGTCCGAAACCAGCGGAGAGCTAAACAAGAAAACACCCAGACACCACCAACAGCTCCCTGGCGTTCTGGGCGAGCCGCCCACAACGTCAGCGGGAAAAAGGGCCTGCGAGCTTCTTTTCACATTTTCTCAGCGGTTAATGAAAAACCACAAAACAGAAAAAAAACACACACACAAAACATCAACAAACCACCAACAAACCATCAACACAGGCCAATTTGAGAATCTTCACCACCAAGGGAAAGCAGTTGTTTTTATTCTTTTTTTGGAGGTTGAAGCAGGTCATTTGAGTTAATTGCGCGCTGGAAGAATCTCCGTGACGGCTTTTGAAAGTAAAGAGGCAGCGTAGACACTGAGCTGGCGTGGGCAAGACGACAAGCGAACGGGCCAGAGTGGACAGAACGCTTTGAAAGGAGCTCAAGAACGAGAAGATAACAGCGGCTGGTGTGTGGACGAAAGCGGACGAACAATGGGGGAATCACAAGGGCATGGCCTTGTGAACGGTGAGGATGTTCAATTTGAGTATAAAGAGACGCACACGTCGCATTCTAACGGCGGCGGCTCAACCTCTGGCAAGGCCAAGGGTAAGAACAAGAAGAAGAAGGGCACTAAACAGGGCAAAGTGCATGTCACTGATGTTCAGCTGGAGAATCCCGATGAGGATTATCCAGAGTCGAGGGTGTTGAAACAGGACGTTGATGGGTCTTTGCTGATTCAGAAGATGGAGCCTGTGAAGACAAAGAAGAAGCAGAATAAGATTGACACCCCTGCACAAAATGACGATTTGCTCCCCACAGACCCAGAAGAACTCAATCGACAGTTGAGTGAATACTGGAACCAGTTGACTGTTGATGAGAAGAAGGAGCTGCTCAATAAGGAGCGTGAGGCGGTGTTCAAGATTATGAGAGATAAACAGAAGATCACCTGTGATTGTACGGTATGTGGACGGAAAAGATCTATCATAGAACAAGAGCTGAAGAAATTGTACGATACGTATTACCAAGGAATTGAAAACAACGAAATGATGTTGTCCGAGCTCTTCAACTTTTCTGAAGAGTCACCATTGGCACAGAGGGAAGTTTCTTCTGAACACTCTTCATCTTCACACAGCTATAACCAAATGCAACAACAAGAACAGCTGCAACAGCAACAGACATTACAGCAACCGCAACGACAGCAATCTCCTTCTAAACAGGACTCTTCAAATACAGCTAAGAAGGGGATCATGACAATAGCTGAGGATCTCCTTCAGAATGACGGCAAGAAATTTTTGGAAATGATGGAGAGAATTGCAGAGACTCAGATTAAAAGACACACCGAACTTCTAAGAAATACCCAAAAGGAAGAAGAAGACGAGGAAGAATACTATAGCGATGATAACGTTAATGAAACATATCTGGAAGACTCTCAGCATTTTGGTCAAGCTCATGATATGTCGTTAAATTCATCCCTAAGACCATCGTCGTATAAAATTCCTCCACTGGAAGACATTGAACTCCCAGAAGATCCAGTTAGCTATTACTGGTCTAAATCTGACGAAGAAATGTACAACTCTGAAGATGATCCAGACTATGATCCAGATGAGGACCCCGACCTCGATGTGGAGATGGATGACGATGAAATGATGCCAGATGATTTCGGTTTGTCCATTTTGACGGAGTTCCACAGAGAAATGTTGGATTTGTTGGAAGAACAGCAGGATATGCTTATCAGAGATGGTTTGCATTTGAAAAATAATGTACACGATCAAAAAATCCTGGAGATGCACATCGTCAAGCAGAAACTCTTACAAAGACAGTTGAAACAAGAACATGAAAAGCTCAAACAATTCAAGGATCAACAACAGAACGCCGCTATAGCGTTATCAAACCAACTGGCTCAACTACAAGAAGATGTCAAAGATTTGGATTTCGACGATGAAGAGGACGATGATGACGAATACCTTGACGAGGATGAAGAGAATTCCGACGAGGAAGATGAAGATGACGAAGAAGAGGACGATGACGAAGAGGAAGATGACGACTTGGGAGAAAATGATCCTATAGATGAAGAACAACATTTAGCAGAAGGACGTGCAATGCTACAACTGTGTGCTACGAAAATGTTGAAACAGTCACTCTTACGTTCGTATAAAGATACGTTGATTAAAAAACGGGCTGACAACTTGTTGGAGGAGTTACTCGAGGATGAAGAACAACAACGTCGTAAAGAGGAGAAAAAACACAGAGAAAGGGAGAGGAAGAAAGAGAAGAAGAAACTCTTGAAACAACAAAAAGAGGAAGAAAGATTGAAAAAGTTAGCCGAGGAGGAAAGAATCGCGAGAGAGAAAAGAGAAGAGATGATTCGCAAGACCGAAGAAGGTCGTAGGCGGAAACAGGAAGAAGAACGTAAAAAACGAGAGGAGCAACGTCGTAAAGAGGAGGAGTTGGAAAAACAACGCAAGGCCAAAGAGGAAAAGAAGCGTTTGAAGGAGGAGATGAAGAAGCGCGAGGAAGAGGAAAAGCTAAAAGAAGAGCAGAGGCTGAAAAAGGAGGAAGATGCCAAACGCAGGCAACAAGAAGTTGCATTGAATCGTGAATCAGAGATTGAAAGTCAACGAGTTGCACAGCTTGATGCTGAATTGTTGAAACATGAACAAGAAGCAAAGAGCATTGAGACGCTGAGATCGCGTGATGGATCATTAAAGGGTGAATCCATCAACATGAACATGGATATTCCATCGACAAGATCAAACTCCAATCTGTCAGCTACGGCTTCATCGATAGTAACATCTGATTTCCACCCACTGCCACCTATCTCTAACACCTTGTTTGATTCTGTTGTTCAACAGACTCCATTCATGGCCTCACCAATGATGGAGAGTCCTCAACCGACCCAATATAATCCCTTAAAACATAACATCTTTGGGTCACCATGGCAGAGACAAGGTTCGAATGTTCAACTTTCAACCCAATCCCTTGAGTCACCTTTACGTGGAATGTCCCAATCTCAGCAGGGCATGTCACATCAGCCACCTCAGGTTCAACCTCAACCTACTTCATCTCAACCAGACTTCAATACACTAGCTGGTGCCTTCAACAGCACAGCTATTGGTGGCTCAACCAATGGTTTAAACAACTCCTTTATGCCGAAAGACACTCTATGGGGAAATAACGTTTCCAATACAAATTTAGCAACTGCAAATGCATGGTCCATACCTCCTACCAAGGAGAACGATTGGACAAGTACGCCATTGATGTCGCAAAATGGTATCTCGAATTCAGCTCTTCAACAAATCCCACAGATATCGCAGATTCAACAGGTGCAATCGATTCCCGAGATGTCGCCAATCCCGCAAGCACGCCATGCGTCACAAGTCCCTCAGGTTCAACACATTCCACAAATTTCACCATTGGGATTCCCAGCACAGCCTGCGCTTGGAACCAATGACACGTTTGGTTATCAGCAGCATTCACAGTTATCAGCACAATCCCAACCACAGAACGCATCTGATGACATTCAAAGAATGATCAGAGGCTGCTTACAATCCATCTACGCTGCCTATCAGGGCTTACCAAAGAGCCAAGATGGGTATGTGGGATTCGAGCAGTTGTTTGCCACTACAAAGAAGATTTCTCCAACTGAGATGAACATTGAACTATTCAATGCGCTTTTCGAGGAGCCTTCTGATGAGTTTTCACTAGAAGCTCATTACTACGATGGCTCAAAGAGAATTCAATTCGCTCGTGTGGTTCCAAAGCGTTCCTTCTCCACACCAACGGCTACAAAGACGACAAACCCAATGGACCGTGGTGAACCACGCATGAATTCATTCAGCGACCTTTCAAACAGTGGATTCGGAGGCATTGGAGTCAGCAACGGCTTTGACAGAAGAAGCACGTCTTCAGCATCTGGTCAAGCTCATTCTATTTGGTGAGGCAAGAGACACACTCCGTATAACGGCACCGTGTACTCTGACAGTGGTGTTCTCCACTCCTCCGCTTTTGTTTATATAGTTGATCAAGTTTGTAATTTACCATTTTCCTTTTACACACCCAGAGCAAACCGTTGATGTATCCATACAAAGTGGCTGCTCGCCTCTGATTGGCTGGAATAGCCCACCTTGCTTGCAACCTCGGATATTTCCGCATTGGGTAATACAAAGAAAACCGGCTCAAAATTTCAGCCATAGAAATTTCAATGGAGCTGTTTGGTATTCACGGTGCTTTTGCTCTTCTGCCCATTCAAAGCTCGTTTTCCATTGCTGACTGAGCTGTTGCACTGTTATCACCATACACATACTGTGTGCTCTAGAACGGTTAGTTTTCCCCTTACTGTTTACTTATAACTCCGATCATCCAGCAGATCGATTGTGCTGTCTCTGTGTGGCCTTGAGGATCGAGATCAACGGCGTGCTGTACCCTGGTTCACGATTGCAATAGACAAAGGTCTGAGAGATGTCGTCTGTGAAGAGGAAATTGGTGATTGTCGGCGACGGAGCGTGTGGTAAGACGTCGCTGTTGTACGTCTTCACCCTTGGCGAGTTCCCTACGGAGTACCATCCCACTGTTTTTGAGAACTACGTGACAGACTGTAGGGTTGACGGTAAAGCTGTCCAGTTGGCGTTGTGGGACACAGCTGGGCAGGAGGAGTATGAAAGGTTGAGACCTCTGAGCTACTCCAAGGCCCATGTCATTCTCATCGCGTATGCGATTGATAGTCCTGATTCGCTGAACAATGCCAGAAGAAAGTGGAGCAACGAGGTGTCGAGATACTGTCCTGGAGCACCTGTGATCCTTGTTGGACTGAAGAAAGACCTGAGAAATAATAGTAATGAAAAGACCAACAGTCGGAAGTATGTTCAGAAGCAACAAGGTGAAGAAGTTGCAAGGATAATTGGGGCTAAGAAGTTCCTGGAATGCTCTGCTTTGACAGGTGAGGCAGTGGACGATGTCTTTGAAGCTGCAACAAGAACCAGTCTATTGGTGAGAGATGAGGATACCGGATCATCCTGCTGTGTCATCTCGTGAGCATTCAACCACGGAGAGTCACTGTGGCTTCTCGTCTCCTCTGCTTAGCACGTTTCCATCTTGATATCCTTCTTCGTCCGAGCACATCTTCACATACCTATTTCAGTTCAGTTCAGCAGCTTAATGTTTTTGTTTCCGCTTTCTTTTCCTCTTGCTTCCGTTGTTACTCACTCATGTGGCCTTCATTCTTGTTGTTCGTTTTGTTACTCGTTTCGTTTCACATCCTTTCCTTTATGATTTTTTCTTGTTCACCGTTATTTCATCTTATTCCTTTGTTCTGTTTGCTCAAGCTCTCTGTTTAATGACATTTGTCTCCAATTATTGATGATATCAATTGACTAACTAATTCTTGAATCCCTTCATGATCACATGGCCCTTTGGAAACAGGTAGCAAAGTGGGAGAGGGATTCATCTAAAGCCTACTCAATGCTCATATGCTCGCGGGGCCTGTAACAGTGCTCATCCGATGCACATATGAGCAGTCATGAGACCCATACAATCACTTTGGGTTGTGTCTATGCTCATGATAAAATAATTGCACTGAAAGGTACTTTCAACGTTTATATAATTCATACACACACATCAAATAATAATCATCTTGATCCAAGAATAATAGCACTGAATATGTATGACTGTTACTATATATCGAGGTATGCGTATATTACAGGTATTATTTATCATCATTGTTCATACTCCTTTGTGATGATCGAGCCAGCCTCAGAGGTTGAGCTCTCCAGGTTTTGAACAGTCTCGATTAAACCACGCTCTCCATGGCTGAGCCCGTACTGTGCTTGGATATTCAACTTCTTCCCAGCCCAACGTCTGACGATCTTGCCTCTTTGCTTCATCCCAAGCCTTGAGTAGGGGAAACAGTCCGGCTTCGTAAAGGCCACAATGTCAAGAATCAAGAAATGGTTAGATAGCACCTTGTTGAATATCACTGGTATCAGCGATGAGAGGTATTTAGCCCTAATGGTGTCAACGACGGCAATTACAAAACCATCTGCTTTGAAAACACAACACCCTCCAGTCTTAATCTCTGGATGCGAGCTCTCAATAGTCGATTCGACGTCCTCTGCAAAGTGCATCAACCCCATAGATTCAAATGTACTTCCAATGGATCCCAGAACGAAAAGCGCTTGGAAGTCGATAGTACCAGATCGATCAGTCCTTGAAACGTTATGAAGGAACCCCAGATCTCCTGTTCTGATATATCTCAACGACTTGTCACCATTTTCAGTAGTTGCATTGAATTGGTACTTGTGGAAAGTATTATCGGAACCACTTATGTTCTGTAAAGTCTTCTGACAATTTCCCTCAGAACACACCCATATCTCTCCATATTCACCAACTTTGCACAGTTTCTTAGTTTCAGGATTGACAATGGCGATCTGTGTACACACAGGAACAATCCCTGAATCCTGAACATGTATAGCATTAGGTACAATGGACTGGGAAACCAACGATACAAGACCTATCCTGAGCGAGTCAGGGTCCAAATAGAGATTGATTGCATCAAAGGACAAGTACGATCTCAATGCAATCATTGGATTGTAGTTGTGCGAATAAACGTGACTTATCGCAGACGACGTCAACTTTGTTGCACTAAATCTTGTCGCCACTTGCTTAATCAAGTTTACGTCAGGACGGCCATCCCAACCAACCATGATGTTCTTCATTTTATCCAGGGAGAAATCTTTAGTCTTAACCTTGCGGATAGCGTATTCTAACATCTGAGGAGTGACATAGATATCCTTCACTTTGAGCCTAGCCAAGGTTGTAAAGAAAGCAGATGGGTTGGTAGCAAAATCCATTGGTGGGATAATATACGTCGCAGACCCCAGATATACACCAATTAGTGCGCTTTGAATGAACCCCATACCAGTCGTGTGACGCACACATGCCATTACTGGGTTTGTGCTTTCCAACTGACAAGTCTCCTTTATGATTTTGCACAGAGAAAGGATAGTGGAATGATTAATGCTGATACCTGTACGCGTATTATCATCAGACCAATTCAACAGCACCAGACATGTGGCTGATGCATCAAATTTCTTACCTTTAAATCTGTCAATGGCTTGTTGATATGTTGCGACGGTTGTCTTTGATGTGCATTTAACTGTGTTGCGAATCTTAATTGATTGGAAATCAATGTTTTCCTTCAACAGGTGAGAGAGAGGCTTGTTTCTAATGAGTGTTTCAACCTCACCATTGATGAAAATGTTTTTAATCTTGTAATCCTTCAACACTCCAAAAAAAGCAGGAATATCCTCACTGGATCTATTTGGGTCTAAAGGATTCAATGGAACTGGGATCAACCCTAAGAGCCAGCACGCATATAAAGCAGCAACAAAATCCTCGGACATGGTGAACATCAATCCAATAAATTCACCTGTCTTGAATTTCCCTTTCTTAGATTTGTCCAAAATCATGGAGACAACACCGGCTACTTTGATGTCGAATTTCTTCCATGAAAGCATCTTAGAATTCTTGGTCACCCCGGAAAATGCCATTTCGTCAGATTGATTCCGAGCTCTCCACTTAAAGATCTCCCAAATAGAGTCGAAATCAGTGAGTGGCCTATTTGTTCTGTCATCAATTGAAGTGTCACGATAATCTAGACCAGAATACTGGTCTTCAGCGTCAAACAAAGACTCGTATCTCAACTGAGAAACAGGAGTAGACCAGATACTGTCCAAATAGTATTTTGATCTTGGAATCTCCGTAATTGATCTCCTAACGTTGTACTTGACATAGACAGATTTCAAAACACCCTCCAGGAAGTATCTCTTTACAAGCATGTTTGCGATTCCTGGAATACCACTCTTGATGGTTCGAGGGAGCGTATCAGGGGCAAGAATGAGAACACACACAGGTCTCACATTATGATACCTCTCGAGTACATCAAAACTTTTTGAGGCAATGAGATCTAATTCCGGAATATCAACTTGACCGGATTCATTTGGTATTGCTGCTGGAGATTCAATAACAAGCACAGGAAGGTGTTCGTTGTTAATTAAGACATCAAAAGCGGATGAGTCTGTTATGCGCTTCTGTGGGATGGCCCTTGCAAGTGTGAATGCGAGATGCTCTGAATAGTGGTATCTGTATTGAGCGGTGTTTTCAGAGTTGTTTCCATCCTGTTTATCGACCCATGTTACTCTCTGACGTAGACGATCTTCGTAGAATCCAAGGACGTAGACTTTACCGTTCCACGTAAATCCTAGAAGACCCGTTCTCAAGAATTCTAAGTCCAATATACCTTCATGGTCTTGACAACGTGCATGGAATATATCCCTAGTTTCCTTTGGAGTCCCCCAATAAGCACCAGGAAGCGAAACAGAATCGATCCAAATCTCCCCAACTTCCATGACACCGGATAGAAAACATGTATCTGGATTAACAATTGCCAATGTAGCATCAGGGATTGGGTAACCGAATGATCCAATTCTTAGGAAGTCTTGTGATTTACTATAACTATCAGCCACTGCTGGTGGTCTGTCTGATATAATTTTCACCGTGTTTGTTGTCAGAGACTTTTTGTCAATCAGAACTTCAGATAGTTGAGAGTCATTCATCGACATCAGTTGCTCACCGTCATCTGTAAATGCTGGTATGATATTTGTATTCAGTTTCTCCTCCTGACCAATCCAGTCTCTCATGGATATTACCATACCGCCAAACTCACTAAGCGTGAGTAATGGTGATACAACATTTTGCACATCCTTACAGCCCAGGGGCTTAAGCCAACGATTTGTCAAGATTTCATGGAATTCACCATCGACGATTGACGTGTAAATCAACACCCATTTCAAGGAACTAAAGTTCACTTCCTTTTTGGAGAATTTCCTAGTGTACTGAGGAAACGATTGGTAGTTGTAAACCACTTGTTTCAGACTTAGGTAGTCGTTGAGAAGTACTGTAACTCCAAACTTGGTGATGATATGCGCATATAAACCAGCAACGTCCAATAACGAAGAAGGAGACCAGATCATGAGGTTTCCAGTGAATACGTTCAAGAGAGTTCCCATGATTAAGCCAACAGACTTTCTCGCATCCAGGATATTCAGCATCACATTCCTATGTCGTGTAAATGAAATATCAGACCTCTTGAAAGATTTCCCATCCAAATTTGGATTTGAGGAAAGTATGGCAGTCATCGAGTTCAACTGTTGCAACAGTGTCTTGTGAGAGATTGCCACACCGTTGAGTTCACCATCAGGCGACTTGACAAATTCAATATAGGCAAGATCTGGAACTTGTAATGTCGGTGGATCTTTCCGTTTGGTCTGATGGTACGTTCCAAAATCGGTGGTCTTCCAGAATACCAGTCCCTTAGGCCATTTGAGCTTGGACTGGTCATTGACCTTCTTATCCAGGTACTTCATCACTGTTTCGGAGGTCAGACAAAGATGCGATTGGGTGATATTCATGATGTTGATCATTTCCTGTGTTTTCATATCAAGTGTGATGGGGACGGCGACAACACTCGCAAGGAAACACCCAAACAGTGCGATCGTGTACTCTACAACCTCGACATTCTGGTAGATCAGGCATACACGGTCGTTCTTGTAGAGACCAGACTTGTCTCTAATTTGCTGAGCAACCTTTTCAGCCTTCAGATAGAGCTTCTCCCAAGTGATCGTCACGGTCTCTTTGCCCTTCGAATCCACAATCACCATTGCCAGTTCTCGTTCATACGTCGTCCCTCGATGTCTCAGCATCGAGGCCAGCGTCTCAAAGTTCTCAGTGTTGGGGATCTCGTAGATCACCCGTGGGTCCAGCGGCATTTGAAGCTCCGTGGTCTCAGATGGCGGCAGGGACTCTGAACCTGATAGAACATTCTTACTGTCCGTCATCGAGGTCCTGGTTATCGAGCTGGCGCTGTACTCCCTGCGATGCGTAAACACCTCCGGTCTCGCCACAGCATCCCCCGCTGGCGCGCTTTGAAGCAGCGCGGCACGCTTCTTGATGTACCCTTTCTCCGTGAGGTAGCCTTCACCAAACTCATCGTGAAGCTCCTTCAGTTGGCTCACGATATCCGCCGGCAGCCCTGGCGGGATTGAAGAGTCCATCCTTACAAAACTCGTCCCGATCCTCTGGAGCTTACAGCGTAATTGCTTCTCTGTTTCGCACGAGACGTCGATTCCCTTCACCGCGGTAGTAATTCGACCCGCTGAGCCTCCAGCCTTTGTTTACATTAAAAGTGTTGATGTTTCCGTCTCTGTGCTTGTGTCCAACATGCTGTACCAACCAAACCGTCACAGGCGGCGCGTGTGTTGTTGCCCACACCCAGCAAACGATAACGCAACACGACTGCGGTCGCATGGATCAACGCACATGAGAGCAACTTTGGTATCTCGATGGTGGAATTTGGGGGATGCTTGAAAGTGTTGATCTTCCCATTGGCTTTGGCACAACGATTGGAGACACTGTATAGTGAAGCGTGATGTCCAGTGAAGATTACGGTGCTACAGGACAGGGCGGTTCGCACCCCCTGAGCCAGTCACAGTCTTCAGCTCAAGATGATACTGTGCTGGCCAATGATACCGTGGAGAGTGAGGTGCCGCCTCGAAAGAAGGACTTCCGCCACCGAAGAGTGGGCGCTGATGTTGAGAACCAGCCTCTGCTGACCCCGGACGATCCTGGTGTCAGTCCGCTGAACGTGAAGAACGTGAAGATCGCCAAGTTTGTGCTTAACGGGTTCACCATCTTGAGCACGCTGTGGCTTATCCTGTTGCTTCTCTCTGATTTTGTTAGCATTCCTGGGTTCAACAACAGAGGCCGGTCCTTCCTCGAGATCAACTTCATCTTGATCAGCTTCTTCTCAACGTGCTCCACTCTTCTGTTCTTTACCGTCCCGTCTGAGCTGGAGAGGGTACTGGGTTACGTCACTTCAGCGTTCCTTGCCTTGATCCTCGTTGTTCTTTTAGTCGTTGAAAGAGGTGAAATGGGGCTCATTGGATTCTTTACTGGGCTCTGGGCCCTTATCACCGTGGGCTCTACGAGTCTGTGTGAGTATCTGGTGGAGCTCGGTAAAGCTG